AGATTAATACGGAAAGGGCATTGCTGGAGCACAGATTGAATCAGCTGTGTTTGGGTTTGACAGGGAACACTGAGTCACCTAGGGCGATTCCTGCGAATCAGGAAAAGCTCAGCACTAGACTGGACACCTGCACTTTTTGTGCAGGTCACTTTGTCATGAGACTTCTTCGAGGAATGAATCAGTAGAGGGCGCTGTATGCGAGGACAATAGTCTGGGTCCCTGACTAAAAGATTCTGACTATTCTGCCAAATCTGAGATCAGGTAGCCACCACGTTTAAAAATAAACATGCCCATAAAACGAGCAGGACCCTGCCCGTTTCTGATAAGCCCGAAGGTTAACAGATACACTCGGATATATTCGCAATAGCTCGGGTATTTCCGGGCGAGAGAGTTTATTTACTTATTACTTAAGACCTGTCATGCTTGTTATCAGTTTTGAAAATTGTGAACGTACATACATTTATTGCTTGCATTTAAAAGTTCCAGTGTCAGGCGTATTGTCAATAACTCTGTAATAAATGCCCAATGTAAACTTTGCGCCTGTAGTATGACTCGCACGTGGGGCGGCCTTTGCTGCGTCATGTACCTATGGTTGCCGACCAGTAAGATTGCCTACGCCGGCCAAAACACGATATGCATGCCCTCGATTTTCAGGCTGCTATTGGAGCATATGTGGACCATAAACAGGACTGCGAGCTCGTATTTCTGTAAAATTTTAAAGAAAATTGGCCCTGCAATTGCTCTTCTTTGCAATGGATTGTAGGCATCATTTTTCCAAATGGCGATAGGCTTCAAAACTACTTTTAATATAAGGGTGATCAGCTTTGGATGGAAATGAGTCCAAAAAGGCATCGGATAACCCTCCAAAATATGAACGGATATTGAAAGATGATGAAATAAGATTCAATTTGATGTGAATCTGCATCACCTTCGAGAGTTGTTTTTCTCCTGATACTAATTGGAGTGGGGGTATTTACCACTGGGGTCTATGACAGTTATATCTACTGGTGTGCAACCTTAATAGAATGTGACGTTTACCTGACCTACTGTATATTATGAGATGTCGGGAACATCTGGTCAGGAAACCAGACTAGACGAGGACCTCAGGGTGCAGACCAGTACATAGGTCCGAAATTGCCTTCACCGGCCAAATTGCAATTGGCATGCCCTACAAATCTCCGGTACGAGCATTTTTAGGGCCGTGAACTGGAGGATTTGTAAAAAAGAAGGTTGGAAGCCATGCAGAGGACTGCAAGCTCGTATATTAGCATGCTCGTACATTTGGATGAAATTAGCCCCTAAAATGGCGCTATATTGCAATAGCAAGCTTCCGTTTTCAAAATGGCGATGGATTTCAGGCCTGCTTTTAGGGGTGATCATCTTTGGATGGAATTTTCTCCCAAAATCATAAAATAACCCCAAAATTAAACAGAAAACGAAACTATACAGCGCAGACAAGTGATGCAACAGTGAAGTTAATCACAGACTTCAAACAGACCCGGCATTATTTACTATCACTCTACTGTGGTATTGGTTTCAAACCCTTGATAGAATTTCTCTGAATGCTGGGCCGAAAATGAAAAACGAAACCAGACTAAAGGGCACTTACAGTGATATTTTACGTTGTTGGTCTGCAGTCGACTCTTGAAAGCAGTGAGGCACAATCCAAATACTTTAATTTGAGGAAATCTCTGTTGAAAATCTTATTGTAATTGCCTTTTTAGGTTGACCTGACTGTACTTTAGTGCATGGTTTTGTCCGACTTACTTCAGATGGGGCGGCAACTCTTAAAGTTCTGTCATAAAATAGCATTTCAATGATTTCGAAACGAGCTGTGAATTGTTATATAAACCTTGATCAACTGAGTAATGACAGGCTGTACGACTACCACAATTAGTCAGTAAAATAGCGCATGTGCAGTGGGTTTACGTCATAGCTAAAGCCAGGTAAGTGACTGGATTAGTGCGATATAATTTTGTTGCGTAAGCCGCGGACTTACTGTTAATCTTTCGTGGAATATGTCAACAAATTGAAACGTTTGCGCAACTTACGAAATAAAACAACGTGGCGTGGGTGGAGTTACGAATATTGTGCAACGTTTCATGAAATCGGCTGCTGGTTTAAGGTCTCATCAAGAGCACCCCAGTTTTCTTGTGGTTGAAATCAACGTTCAGATTTTGAGCGTTTGGTAAACTTTGATACTGACGAAACAGTTTTTGAATAAATTGACGGTGTACTTTTTCTGCGACTCGAAAGGAGACGTCTGGGTACCGTCTTCTTGTATTTTGCCATATGACAAAAGTTGGCAACATTTCAAGCTGGTTTGCATTACATTTACATCAGTATCTCCCATATTAAGCCGGTACTGGAAATGATTCAATTGGAACCAATGACAGAACCAATAGAGTCGATGACAAGAATATGTTTTCCAGACATTGTTTTCTCGATTAGCCGTACAAGCACACGTGATCAATATCAATTTCTGTCCAAGTTATCGTTTTAAATCGCGCGTAGCCTCGTGGTCATTTCTCCAGTAGACTCCTCTCAAGTGGATTGTACTGCCGTCTTCAAATGCACCCTTTATTATTGTGACCTATATACGATCACTCTGGTAAAGCCTTTTCATGAACCCTTGACTTCCTCCATCTGGCTGAGTGACGGATATAAGAAACCCCCTACGTCATAAGAGACTCTGAAGCCTTACATTTTTGTTATCGCCTTTAATATCGATATTGCAGCATATTTGAACTCGCATCTATTTCTTAACAAAGCGTTTTCAATATTTCACCAATGGAGTGAAAGGCTGTTCAGAATAGTGTATAGAACGCCAGATCTGCCTTCAGTAGTTCCTTCCATTAAGAAAGGTTTAATTTTACCATTCAGCACATTCATCATTCTATTCCAATCTGAAATGGCAAAATCATCAATCCATTCGGCCAAATCATCATGATTCCAGTTAGCAAATGCATCGTTCCTTTCGGCGGAGAACGATGAAATTGCCGAATGGAAGGTCGGATTCGGCGAGTGGAATGATGAGTCCGACGAAGAAAGTGGTGTGAATGATTGAAAGCATCTTTGACGTTCCATTGCAGTGGCACATTTTGTTTAAAAATGATGCATTTAGAGAAAAGATATTAAGAAAACTAGCTCTTATTCTGTTTAATAATAACTTATATACGCTTAAAAATGATTATTTCTTAACACAATGCTGTTTTCTCTATCTCATTTGAACACCTACATCCAGACAAAAAAACCCCGGTTAATTGAAGGGATGATATGTCAATGTGGTCCAATTAGCGGCAAAGTGGATGAAAGGAGATTAAATATATCAGCAATCTATCTATTGGCCAACTTACCTATCGTTCTTTGCCAATCAATAGTGAATTGGAAAAACCTCAACTTGAACCTATGTTTCATTGATAATGTAATCGTTTACATAAGCATTGGAGCACAAGTCTAGATTGTTCCAACCCGATATTGATTGGAAAAGAACAACAGGTAAAGTTGGCCTATAGAAAGAAATTGCTGGCATGTTAATCTCCTTTCATCCACTTTGCTGCAAATTGGACCACATTGACATATCGTCCCTTTCAATTAAATGTCTGTATCTCTGCATGTAGGTGTATAAAATGAGACAGGATAAACAGCATTGTGTTGAGAAATAATCATTTTTTAAGCGTGTACAAGTTTTTATGAAACAAAATAAGAGCTAGTTCTTTTAATATGTTTCTCTCATTGTTTCGTACACACTGTACACGGTTATTAAAAAAAACCCGAAACCCAAATGTTGAGACTATTGTTTTATTCTGCATATAGCACTTTCAAAATCTGGGTTATAAAAACGCCAATTCATAAGCTTTCTTTTCGTACAAGAATCATTCAAATCACTCAAAGGCATGTAATTTTCAAGTTACGGAATTTTAAACACAACCACAGTTTTAAAGTTCTGTCAACGGATCACAAAAAGGTAAGTGTTCTTTCAGCAAAACGGAAAAACATCACAAAGGGATGTGTGTGATTTGTTTTCGTTTTGCTGAAAAAACGCACACCTACTTTTGTGATCCTTGGACAGAACTTTAAAACGGTGGTTGTGTTTAAAATTCCGTAACTTGAAAAGTACTTGAGTGATTTGAATGATTCTTGTACTAAAAGACAGCTTATGAATTGGGCTTTTGTATCCTAGATTTTGAAAGTGCTACATGCAGAACTTCACTTAAATAATAGTCCCGACATTTGGGTTTCGTTTTGTTTTACTCACCCTGTATAAACATAGCTTCTACAGGGAGGGGCATGCAGTAGAAGATGGTGGTTATAGGATTACCTCGTAATGCCAAATGAACGGGCTACATCCGCCCAATTGTGAACCATCACTAACAGAATGAGCTTCCAATAATAATCCATTCTGAATCAATTGAACAGAATTTTGTGCTCTCTGGGGCCAGCTTTAACGAGCTTGCTTTGTCTTGTCATCGAATGTCTGAGAAAGAGCTCCTTGAGTTGACAGTGAAATTCCATTCCGTCTCTTAGTTGACGATTATTATTATTATTATTTTTTACATAATTCAGTGATTTTTAATGCGTGTGTTTGGTTCAAGTTAATGACTCAAAGAAGTGACGGAGTCAAACAAACGCGTTGGAAATAATAGCAGATTATGAGAGGTCTGCATGAGAAACTTGTACTTCAGTAATTTTTTCATGTAACTCGCATGCCGAGATAAACACAAGCCTGGACATTTTCGTTTAAATTGTTTAGGCCTACTAGAACATGGAACTGGTCAAATCCTGTTGAAAATTAAATCATGGTTAACAATGTAAAGAGATATACAACACAAGTGAACCATAATGAAATCAGGACATTTAATGGAGGACTTCCTCTTTGTTAGGCCGTGACCTCCCTTGTTTATGCACTGCATTGTGAAACCAAGGGAAGCGGAAACGCGCCACAATATGTGTGGTTCCTCAATTAACCGGCCTCAGACAGTAATAAACGGAAAGCAAAACAGATAATTGATGGGTATCAGTACTATGTCAGGCAGTCAGCTCAGTGCGTCAGAAAGTCATATCAATAGTCGTCAGCCAGACAGGCTACAGAGTCATCTTGTGAAAACAAACACTTTTCATGTGATTAATTGACAGTTTACATGAGAGGAAAGGTTTAAAGAATGCTGTGTTACGGCATTGTTCTCGTCACCATCGCGTTGTCATCAGTGACAGCGCTGGATTTCGTCAGCGGGCCCGGTAGCGTGATCATACCGGCCGGTGGTACAGCTCGGCTGAAATGTGTCGCAGATCTACGCACCGTGCGTGGATCCTTGACACTATACTGGTACAAGGCACAAGATGGCGGTGGCTACTACATCACGGGAGGATCGGAGGTTTACGCCCGGAATCTGGGCGCTGAGAGATACTCTCTTGAGACAAGCAGCGTCAACGGGGAGTATTCGTACATCTTGAAGATCGCCGCGGTTGAAGCCGTTGACTCGGGTCAGTACCGGTGCATGGGTGTTGATGCCGGTGGCTCTACTTCTTCACCACGAGGTACCCTGAGTGTCGTACAAGCTGCGACTAGCGAGCCCCTTACCTGTAGTTACTACCCGGAATCGCCCTCTCTGGGGCAGACCGTGACGTTCGCCTGCACCGCGCCAAGGGGTATCTCCCCCGAGATGTTATCCTGGTGGATGGCTGGCACGGTCCGCATCCAGCCATCGGCAAACCCATCCACCAACCACGGCATCTCTTTCGTCAAGACTCTTGACAACAATGATAACTTTGCCGAGTTCACCTGCCTGGTGGGAACATCGTTCGACACCGCGAATAATATGAACTGCAGCGTAATGCCCCTCGCCGTACCCATACGGGCTGAAGTCACCCCACAGACCGCCCTCGCACTCCTAGGAGGCAGTGCTACCTTCAGGTGCCGTGGTACAGCTATCCCGCGTGTGACAAGATACCGATGGATCTGCGGCTCTGGTGTATCCACCGTCAAGATTGCTACGAGTAGAGGGAGGTTCACGGTCATTAACAACGGTGATTCATCGACTCTAACCATCGGGAGAATATCAATGCAGGACAATGACTTGAGTGTACGCTGTGTCGTCATGAATGAAATAACAAAGAACATTGGCTCTGCAACCATACAAGTCACAACGCACATTCAGACAACGCGGGCAACAACCTCTCTCATGTCACCATCCATCTCACCAGTAGGAACCACGGAGAAACCAACAGAGTCTCTGAACCCAATTCAACCCAGAGAACCCATGGACCCCTCCCAACCCACACCATCAATCAGGACCACTGGAAAGGTCTTGGGTAGCACCAATCAGCAGATCAGCACAACCAATGACAATGGCGACGTGATCAACATCTTAGGATGTGGCAAGGACTGTGGTGAAAAGCTTTCTCCTCAGCAAAGCCCAGATGGCGAGGAGGGATCAAGCAACAGCGCCCTCGCAGCAGCACTCAGCGTACTCGCCATCTGCGCACTGGCCACTGGAGTCATCGTCTACATAGCTTATACCAAGAGAGGGCGCACTAGCGGGCGGGTCACCAAGAGAAAGAGGAAAAATAAGCCCTTAAAACGTCTGAGATCTCTGCGTCTCTCCGTTAGTAACTCTAAGCCTGAACTCATCAATCCCGACTCCGTCAGACTGAAAACCATCGAGGTGATTGTCAACTCACCACCTCCAGAGTGGCAACACCGAGTCAGGGACGTGGAAAGCGAAACAAAAGAAGTCCAGGAACAAGACCTCCCCAGGCTGGAGGTGACTCCGGACTGTGATGCCTTGTATGCCAAGCCGGACAAGACGAGGAAGAAACGCCACCATGGCGACGCTGTTGGCGACGACACGCACCCGGTCGCAACAGCGCCTCCTGCCGTCCCCGGTCAGTATCTTTCGGCAGATGCCGACGACTGTTTGTCTGACGACGTTTCCGATGCATCTACCTGGGATATGAGCAGTGTGGACTCCGGCTGCGAAGAGGAGACGGACGAGATACGCGAAGATGCCGCCGCCTACACCGAGCTTGACCTGACTAAGGCGGGCGAAAGAGACAAAGAATGTATCCCACTAACTGAAACTGTTGAGTATGAGAAGACTACAGTTACCAAGACTAGCCTTCCTCGCCATTGAATTCACACTATGCTGGAAATCCTAAATAAAGTGGTAACAAAAATACGGAACCTCATACTTACACTACCTTGAGACTCAAACCACATGGACCAATGTATGGAGAATCCTTTTAGAAGAAAATGAAACCAAGATCGCCCGATTCGGTGCAGTAGTTTTTGTTCTAGAGCCTATTTTATGAAGCAAGATAGGGCCATTTTTGTCCCGTTGAATTTATAAACCGTGCCCGGGAATTTGACTTATATTATAACTGATAGAGGGATTGTTATGTAATAATACCCACATGCAAGTGTGCTTCACAAAATAGGCTCTGCAGCAAAAAGTACTGGAACGAATCGGGATATTATCGGGGTGATATCATAATTCTTTTAAAAGGATTCTTCATCAATTGGTTCAGGTGGTTTCGGTCTCAGGGCAGTGGATGTATCAGGTTCCGTTTTTTTTTTTTACCAGCCTGTATATATAATGAACACCACGAACACCATAATGGTAACTAATAATGAGTATGTGGAACACCGTATAAATCCAGAATGTAATAAGCTGTAAATAAAACTTTATTTAATCAATCGATTGCCACAAAATTCTATATATCCGACGAAACGGAGGTATCATACGAAAATCCCCTTTACTAGGAACACTTATTATCGAAAAATGGTTCAAATAGTTATGGAAAGCTTTATCTTACCGTTGTCTTTGTCTTTAAAGTTACATTTACTTAGAGATTTTATAGATGCTTTAGAGACTTTTAGAAATGTTTGTTTATACCCCATTAAACACAGTTGCTAGTTTTATGCACATTATTATGTATACATATATATTTCCATGTAAAGTAAAACAATGGATTATCATAATTTGAAGGTTACCAGGAAAGACAGGAAACCAGTCAGCGGAGGTGGTCATGCCAGTTCCTCTGTATGTTTCCTCTATACTCAGATCCAATCTGTTGTGTTATCCAGAAATCCTTGCCCTAAGAGACCAAACTGGACCAAGCGACAATTTCCTTCTTTTTGGTGGATAGGGCTTGTCAGATAAAATTATATCATCGCAAATTGAATGATTCATGAAAAAAAAAACTAAATTTGCAAAACAATGCTCAATCGAGAATCCTTGTGTCGGCCTACAACTTGCTTGAATTATTATGGATGCGATCCGCATGCTATTTCCGAGTTTCATCCCTAGAAATAGATTCCTTTTCTAAATTGCTTTTTTTTTTAGCAGTGCAAAAGTTATCCACTTCTGAACGAGACGTCGACCAAAAAGAAAACTCAATTACAATTGTGAATTATTGGCTGCCCGACAATAATTCCGTTATTGCGGGGTAGGCTGGTTCCCACCCCACAATCAGTACCGATAATGCACGGACCGGGAGCCAGTCTGCTCGCAGAGCGGATCTGTTTGTGTCCAAAAAGAAATTAAAAAATTCAGACGTTTGCAAAAGTCGAAAAGAAAGTTTTGATTGGAATTAAAAGTGTCAGCTGAACAGTTCTTAATCGAAAAAAATAACGGATTCGTTGAAGAGCACGGGGAACACAACTACAAAGTAAAACAATTCTGAATGTAGAAAAATCCTTCTTTTTTTTAGTGATTATATCAGACAAAATGTAAATAAAACTTCTATAATAGAGAATAAAGTATTTGTATAGTTATCTATGCATAAAAATCTTATTAATAACATGATGTTCTTCATTTTCAGCGGTTGTTTCCCGCGGGGTTTTGATGTCTGAAGAGCCGCAAAAAGAGTTTTATTTGCGTTCGTCTTACGTTTTATTGGTAGATGTGAAAACTACGGCCTTAAAACTTCGTCTTATAAGGCCGCTGTGATAGTAACTCGACTGATATCAAGATATCCCTAAAAGGATTTCGATATATCATGAAATATATTCATATCTTGTTGTCTCAAAATGATTACAAGACATCGTGAAAATGAATTTTAAGATACATGTATCTTGAAATTGAATTTACGATATCTTGAACTGTATAGCGACATATCTCAGAATCGGTCTCCAGATACCTTCAATCGCTTCAGGGAAAGTGGAGATCGATTTTTTTTTTAAATCTTGAAAGATATCTCGAAATGATCTTGACATAATCCCGATATCGATTTCGAAATATGTCAAAATGATTTCAAGATATTTTGAAATAGTTGTTGCTGCTTCCACCAGGCTCATATAGTGAAAGCACCGTTAGGTCAAAGATCGAAACTGAGCGACTAATGTGTCCCATAATCTGAACCGAATCCGAAATATCTTGAAATATCTTGAAACTGAACCGGGCAATTAATGTCCAATGAATAGTTTCCTTCCCGATCACCCTGAGTTTGTAACTCTGTAATACTAGGCCTTTATACATTGAAAATTGGTTTTAAATGAGCGAAATTCTATAACATAGTATTCAAATCTAACGATATTTCAGCTCATACGTGCCATAGCTATCTTTCAATCAAGTTAGCTTTCCAACTATTATTTCTTCAGTTACTTTTTGGATGGCTGCAAATGATTCTATACTCAACTTTTAATTTTGGAATCAATCGTTTTGTATTAACCATATGTAAATATATCTTTATATGGTATTTGCCTGACCCGATCCAAGCTTGACCTAAACTTTGCGATGATTGCGGCTTGCCATAGATGTAGAATAACATTACTAGATTGACAGCTATATATGGAATAAAATTACATATCACTTATATCTATGATCGGCAGTGCGCACAGAAGCACTTCCGGCACGGAGAGCGCCATTTTGTTCAGCGCGTAGGGTAAAAAGTTGCGTTAGGTGCACCTTTATTCCTATTCCTTTATTGTATGCAAACGTGTATTTTGTATGTCCGTAAAGTTAATATTTTTGATCTGTATTAGTTATGTCCCCAACAAAATTCAAAATGGGATATCAAGCTGGATATTCATCGTAACGTTTCATTTTTTTTTTTTTGGGGGGGGGGGTCGTATATCTTTGTATGCGCGTTACAAAAACGACGACGACGACAAATTTCTTGTTTGGTATTTTTTGGGGTATAATGCATCTCAGTATACCCGAACGTTCTTACAGTTTGATGACGTTATCATTAAGAATGTGCAAACTGAATGCTGATTTATAGGGAAAACAATTTTTGGCTATGGGCCGCTATAGTCCAAGCCAGGATGAAAGACGCGATCAACACGGCTAAAATCAATTCCAAAGGATTACAATAACTTTTTAATTACAAATAGAACTAAACCAAACTTAATCGATAAACACAATTAATAAACAGTCAACCAAATTCAATTTGGAATAGTAACTCAGAACATGCACAAAATAATACTCAAAAGCAAAGCTTAAACTCAGTTGGCTTTAATGCAAAATTAGCAAAACATGCAAACGACATATCCAAAGCAACATAGTCATAAAAACGGCAAATAAATTATGAATAATTACAATGACCAAGAAACAGGAAAAAGAAAAACAATAACTCAGTACTGGAAACTAACTGAATACATACTGCACTAAAACTTGCCAGGGTAAATTTTACCTGTGCTGAGCAAGGGTAAAAAATGCAACTGCCAAAATTGGTTTGTCCTTTTTCCAATTGTTTGGGTGAGAATTTCTGTTAAATTCATCCAAAACGTAATAATAGTAATACCAGGGTTTTATATAGTGCACGTATCTACCAACAATTAGGTACTCAAGGCGCTGGAAAGTATGTCTATTTGTACAGACAGGTAATTGAAGTTTATAAGAAATGCACATGGTGCTGCGCGTATGCGGCGCATATTGCAGCCACTGCCAGCCCAAAACACGGGACAAACCTCTTTTGTAAGCGATAACTGTTACTGGGTTATTTTACGTGCATGACACAACAAACGGGACCTACGGCTTTACGTCCCATCCGAAGTACAAGCACCATGTTCCCTGTCAGGATTCGAGCCCACGGACCACGGCACACGAGTCGAACACCGTACCCACTTGTGGTCATACCAGACTGAATTTAATTAGGAATTGTCTGACCACAAGTTTTCGTTGAATTTAGCAGAAATTCTAATCCAAACAATTGAGTAAAGTACAACCCAATTTTGGGTAGTTGCAGTTTTCACCCTTGCGTAGGTGAAATTAACATACCGTCATATTTTGTGATCTGTGCGTGTCAACTCAACATAATCACGTCATTCTTCTGGGGATCCATTATAAGACGTATACAATTCCTGAAATCAATAAGTTTTTGAATGCAGATAATGTGAAACTTTTACAGGCTACAACACAAATAAAAATAGACAGGTTTGATCTACTTCAAAATAATTTGACAAGCTCACAAAATCAAGAACAAGACCTCAACTCCAACTAGGATAATAACAAATACGCTCTAGGCAGTTCAATCGTGTGCCTACCCTGGTTTCTATACCAGTGTACATCAATAGTAATGTTCTCTACTTGGCAAGATAAAGTAAAAATGTCAATCAGTTCGAATAGCACTAAAGCCTCACATTATTTTGACTCATATTCCAACACTAAAAGAATGAGCAATGGTCCTACTGCTAATGCTGCTAACAAATCCCAATTTCCTTCCCCCTTAAATCAACTTAGATTCACAGTGGCATTTTGTTTGGAATTTTTCAACAATAAAACTAATATCAACGGATTATTCCTTGAAGTTTGCCTACACATATCTATACCGGTTCTTCCTTGCTATTTTCTCAGCAAAAAAAACCCGCTTCTCTCGAAGCCGGTCAAGTCTGACAAACATAATTTATCATGCATGATGGCGCCCCCAAGAAAAAAACACGTCGAATCTGGTTGGACAAGTAACACACTGGCTGCATGTATGATTACGCCCCCTCCGAATAAACTCGTTTATATGCGAAGGAAAATCAACGCAAGAGTACATGCACAGATTACCAAAAACGTAGAATATTCAGATGAATTACTACTGGCGAAATTATTGTCATTTGCCTCTGTGGTAGGGATGAATTTGTGTGGTGAATCGGGAGTGGTCGACGTTTCGCTACCAGAATCTGTGGAAATGCATGGTCAAAAGTATCGAAAAGTTCATGGCCGTCTGTTTCCACTCATGGGAATAAAACGAAATGAACGTATAAATAAACTAAATTATGATACCTCCCTCCTAAATGCAAAACAAGAAAATGAGCATTGTCGGGGAAAAAGCTGTTGCCAACCAAGGTTGAATTTATGGAAGTAGTGACCGTCCACACAAAATGGCGCTCAGTTTTTATAAACAAAAAATATCGGTAAATTTTTCTTGTGTTTACAAAAGCAAATCCTCCTGGCCCCTCGCAGCGCCGCCACTGGGCAGAGTAATTGTCTTAAAATTGGCATCTTCTCACTGCCCTATAGTTGTTATACTCATGATATTTATGATTCACTGACTTTGCTTTCATGCGAGTATTTATTAAGATAGAAGGGCCTACCTTTAAATAATATATATACAATTTGACTGTTGGAGAGTTAAAAACATTAAAATCGGATATTTTCTTTATTGCTCACTACAGGAATCTGGGGAGTTCCAATGGCCCATTACCAGGTCAAAACGTAGAGGTGGGGATTTATCCTCCTCACCCCCCGCGATTTACGCCCTTGAACCAAAGGCACATGACAACACTTTTTTTCTGCATTTTAGTTGACGAAGATAATGTTCTTACCTAACATTGTCCGAAGCTCTTCCACGTAATTGTTCCAGAAGTAGCATTGGTCGCTCCGGAGAGCTCGGCTCGTGGATAGGTTCAGGTCTAGCACCTTGTACTCCAGACCGGGGCTGCTGAACAGGGGCCAGCTGTAGTCTTCTGAGATTGACGAGGAATTCGGTGACTCCTTGCTTGCATTACTGATCCGAAACAAAACAGCGATACATAGAAAACATGAGAAAGACGCTTTGATGGCGGTTTGCAAGTCGGCAACCGACAGACATGACGTCCTATAGGTGATTTGGTACGTATACAAATTATTTAGAGCATCGGTGAGGCATTTCATTTTAGTTTCATAGTGCTATTCGTAGGTTTCCTTCATTGGTACTCACCCACTCTTGGCAAAATTAGTCCACAATTTCATGAACTTGACAGAGAGTACTTTCTCCTCGTCTGTTAGACGAGCCCAGGGGTTTCCTTGCGCGAACGCCCCACCGAAGACGAACGCGAGTTCTTCCGCGTGACCAGCCCCGATCCAGCGCGGTCCCGGCTGAACTCCGTTATAGTTATAGTAGGACACGGTCGGAACGTGTGTCATCAAGTAGCGGTACACTTCATTCTTTGACGAATGAAGCCGGGCGGTTATGTCGACGGTGCAGGTGAAGTTAAAGTCACCTGCTAACTGCTTAAGTGAGAGGTAGTAATCCGCGTCTTCGTACTCGGCTTGCGACCAGTCAATGTACCTCATTTTGGTGGCATTCAACACTGCTCCTTCACCGACAGCTGTGGAAGCAAAACAAAAGCCCTAAAGCAATGATTACAAACAAAGCAACGAAGTCTCTTTTCACACCCACCAGACAGGTGAGAGGTTTCCTCGCACTGAACGACGGAGAATGTCATAATCCTCCAAGGATGGGATGCCTATCCGACGGTAACCTCCTTTGCCTAAATAAATCCCCGTCATCTGATTGAAGGGGTGGGGGTGGGTGGGGTTCTGGATCACATGTCATTGAATTATTCGTCAAAACCCACGGCCCGGCCGCACCGTAAAAAAAT